CTCTGTTATTCTGTATTCTGTATGTATCATCAGAGCCAGTCCAAGGAAACAATAAGGTTAAGGATCCCTACTTTGCTTTCAACAGTGTTTGAATACAAGACTTTTTTTTAAAAAAAATTGCTAGAGGGATGACTGTTTCCTGACAATGTCTATGAAATGGAAACCTTCCTGCTTTCAATCTGCAGTGCCTTCTTGCCTCTTCATTTGTTCTAATGAGGAAAACCTATAAAATCTGCAAGTTGACTGGCACTGCTGTCTGTTGTGTCAGGTGTCAGGGTTCCAAATAGCATCCAAAGGTCAATCAGAGTCCAAGGCAAAGTATTGCTCAAAGTTCCAATTTATTAAGAGAGCCATGTTGGCACACCTGGGAAAACCTGAATCTGAAAGCTTCCTGTTTTTTTCCGGGAAGGTTGAAGCTCTTGCCCCCACACCCACAAGTCCATCACATGGTTCAATCTTCCACTGGCAGTTACACCCATCCAGTTCCGGTCAGGTGCAGAGGTGTAGAGACAAAGGATGACCTTGGTTATCTAGAAAGAATTTTGTTATGGCTACATCACATCTCACTCCTACAATCCCCCCTCTCTTTTTCCCATAATAGAAAATGCATAGTAGAATAATAGAAAGAAAAAATGGCTGCAGGCCTAACATCAGGAGGTTCCTAGCTCCACTTTGGCAGTTGAGACAATCTGTTGTCCATTGAAGGGAAATATCACAAATTTCTCACCACCTCCTGTGCTCCATTGAATCTTTCCATTTTCACATGAGTCTAAGGGTTGATGGAAGGGCTGTAAAGAGGACTAGGGCTTCTGTGTCCATTGTTTGAAGCTGAACTTCCTTTACTTTCTGAATGTAATATATGCCACAATGAACCACAGCCATTCAGAAACCCTTTGAATAGAAATCTGTTACTTGCTTATTCATTCATACATAATTTTTGTGCTTGTAAGTGTCATATAGCCATTCTGCTGATCCTTTAAAATAACGCCTTTTAAATGCATGTTCACTTTTTTCCCAGACTTCCTCTAAACAGCATTTCAGAAGCTATTTTGTTTTTATACACTGCTAGACAAATATAGAGAGATCATATTGCCGAGTTGTTCTTATTTCCAGCTTGTAGAAGTTCAGTTTAGTTTTAAAACCGAAACTCTATATTTTGATTAAGTTTAAACACATTTGTTTTTAAAAAAGGAAGCTTTATGTCTACAGTATGGAGTGTATGAATTTGATGAATTTTCTCTGATCTGAAATCCAGATTATTAACTATTTCAGAATCCGGCATAAGACCTGATAATAATAATAAAAAAATCTGAGCTCTAGATAGAGGTTAATAATATCTTGTCTTCTGCTTTAGCTTAAAGTGTCCTTTAGTAACTATTTCTTTGTCTGGATTCTTGCAGAACGCAGCGAGCTCCCCACCGCCGGAAAGCCTTTCAGAGCAGTTGTCTCCGTAAGTTTTGAAACATTTCTTTGATGTTTCAGTTCATGTTTTGGAGTGCTGGAAATACCTCTCTAGGCTTTACAGGGTTATTAATGGCATGTCAGGATAGGAATTGCACGTGTCCTTTCCTTAAATTTGTGGGATGCAGTGGATATTGTTCATCCATGTGGCTTAAAGTTAATATGAACAAAAGGCCGTTGACGTATTAATTGAAAAGTTTAGAATAAAAGATTTAGGGTTGATCAGGTGTTTTTTTTAAATCAATCTTTTGGACTCAGCTGAGCAATACAAAGCATACTGCTCAGATAAGCAATGCCTGTTTAGCCTTGAAAGAGACAAGGAGATGAGAAAGAAATCTAAGATTGACCTGCCTTAATTCTTTTGAGTATAAGGACGGTGTTGTGGCCCGCCAGCTGTCAGCAGAGCTGGAAGCAGACTCTAAGGATGGGGAGGTTGGGCCTGATTTGCTTCCCAAGGACTTTGTTTCTCTGAATCAGCATTCCTTATGTCTGTTTTATGGCTGACCGAGCACTTTGTTTCCTTTGAAAAAGCATAGGGCCGTGCATGCGCGTGTGCTTCCCGCCGGTCAGCTGATTTTCAGGTCTCTGCTGCGCATGTGTGGGTGTGCATGCGGGAGATGTGTGCGCATGCACAGGGGGGATCATCCACGCATGGGCGTGGGGTGTGTGGGAGAGTGTGGCAGGCCTCCCCCTCACAGCCCATTTTTGGTCCCAGGAGGCTGCAGGGAGGCCTGCTAGACCCAAAATGGGGGGCAGGGGGGGAGTCAACTGTGCATGCACAGGGGCGTGTAGGGTTTGTCGGGCACACATTGCATTATGGTTGTGGGCACGCATGCATGCGCGCTTTCGGCACACAACAACAAAAAGGTTAGCCATTACTGGCATAGTGGTTAATTACACTTGTCTGACAGAGTTCAGATGCTCAGTGGAAAGTGGCAAAGATAGAGATAGACAGATCTTTTGTATTGGTAAATCGAGAGCAGTAAATTCCAATAAAGGAAGAGTTGTAGGAAAAGGGAGTCAACCTAAGTCAGAGAAATTTCCTGCCCCAAAATATACTTCACTCATTGCAGGTTCTGAAAATATTTGACACCAGAAGGTTAATATTAAATCTTATCAAAAAAATAATTCAATCTAAAAAAATAGTTATTTTTTTATTTTCATATTTTAAATGGCAAAAAGTGGGTATTCTAATATTTGAATTTAGTCAGGGTCTGGACTGAGCTTTTTAAAAGCATTTCATTTGATGCCTTATTCCACCCATTTTTCTGTCTTGTGATGACTCAAATCATCTGCGTCATAAAAGGCTTGCCATGGAGTGTATACTTTTGTGCAACTCCTGAAAGTAATTGGAAGTATGAGATGCCTTGGGACGCGGTGGCTCACTGGCTAAAACGCTGAGCTTGTTGATCGGAAAGGTCAGCAGTTCAACAGTTCGAATCCCTAGCACCGCGTAACGGAGTAAGTGTCCGTTACTTATCCCAGCTTCTGCCAACCTAGCAGTTCGAAAGCACGTAAAATGCAATTAGAAAAATAGGGACCATCTTTGGTGGGAAGGTAACAGCGTTC